AGCTAAGAAAATGCTTATCTCCCTGAGCCTGGCCTTCATAATTCCATTCCATCACACCAAGGTTGACAAACACTGGCCTAATTGATGGCACCCAGAGTGTGCCAACTCTGCCCGATCATACAGGACAGGCAGAAGTTACAGAGAGACGGCCCTCCAAATAACATTAAATGTTAAATATTCCCCTGCATTTCTTCCCTTTCGTCCCTGCGCGATACACCAGCCCCGTCGCATCTGTGGAGCAAGACCTGGTTGTCTCCTCTACGTTCCCCTTAGCTCCCACGCGTCCCCACATTTTACTCACTCCCCTTCCTTTTCCATCAATGCTGTTTTGGATAACGACACCCCCAAAACGGGGTCTCTCTCTCTTCCCCATCGGCAGGTGCACAATATGGCTTGTACGCACACGTTCAAAATCGACAAAGCTCGGGCCCACCTTGGCTACGCCCCCCAAAAGTATTCCTTCGCTGACTGTGTGGATCATTTTTTGAAGAAGGGACCCCGGTCGAGGAATTTTTTCCTATGCAAATGCCTTTTTCTGCTGGTCCTGCTCACGGGGCTGATCGTGCTGGCTGTGAAATTCTCCCAAGTGAGAGATTTTCTCCTAGATTCCTGGAGGAAATATTGGTTCCTTCTTGAGACGTGAAGAAGTCCCACTCTCGGATTGCGGGGGACGTGGGCTTTGGAGTGGTCCCCAACTTGCAGGCCAAAGAGGGGGTCCCAAGAGGAAGTGGCAACCCTGGTTCTGAAATGGCAAACAGACGGGGGGAACCGAGGGCAGCATCGGCGTGATAGTGCAAGAACGTCGCACGCTGGCACTTTGCCGGGACAGGAGTCCTCCTCCATGGGGGCTGCAGCTTTTGGTCCACCTGGATGAGAAAGAAAAACGAAAGCCAAAAGAGAGAAACGGGAACCCCCGCCGGGCCCTTTGAGGGCCATGCAGAAGGATCACAACGGGCGTCTCCTACTGCAGGCGAAGCCTCGAAGGGTGATGTGGGAACCACCACCCCCCGGGCGAAGGCTTTGCGTACCCCACGCCTCTAACCGGCTGATGTTTACAGTGACCCTGCCCAGGCGCTGAAAATAAAAGCCCTTGGAAAAAAAGGCCAAAACGGTGTCTTTTGGGGCAAGAACGTGGGCCGGGCAGTTGTCTAGAAGGTCCCCCGAGATGGGATCTGCTCTCTAAAAAGGAAGCATCCGGGGGTCTGCAGGAGGATGCCCACAAGGGGGTGGCCACAACGGTGCCTCAGAAGCTCTGCCCATTTTGTGTGCAGGACATGGTGGCCGCCATTTTGATTTTTTTGACCTCGCCTTGCAGACATCCCTGTGGTGAGTAGGGATCTGCCACCCTTGACTCCCTCCCTCTCTGCAAGCGTCCCCACGACATCGTTGACTGAACGTCTCGAGTTTTCCTGCAACTTTTTCCATCAGGCTCAAAACAATCCATCAGAACTTGCTTTGGGGGGGGGAATGTTGGCAGGGTGTGGTCAAAAGAGTCAAGATGGCGACCACGATGGTGTGATGGAAGCTCCGTGGTGCACCTCAAAGACAGCGGTGCTTCCATCTCACCATTATGGCCACCATCTTGACTTTTTTGACCACACCCTGCCATCGCCCCTGTCTTTGTTCAAACATTTCTGCAGGCATCCCGTTCTCATCTCATTTATTTTTATTCTGGTTCATTTTCCTTTCCTGCCGATTGTTTTTAACATTCAAAGACTGGCAAAATACAGCAAGCAGCATTTTAATGAAACGGGATTACGGTGCTAAATAAATCACTTTTTTAAGAAGGGGAAAAAAAGACCCATTTCCACCCGCTTTAGCAAAATCAGCTGGCCGCTTGGTTAGTTTTCCGCCCTTCCAGCTGCCTGTAAAACTTCCTGGAATAAAGTACCTTCTCTTAAAAAAAAATGACTCTAGTAAAAAAAACAGAGAGAGAAAGGAAATAAAAGAAAGGGAAAAAACCACTTGTTCAAGATGATCAATAAACAAGGCTTAATTTATAACTTAAATAATAACGAATATATCAGTTAGAATGATCAATAAACTAGGGCTAAGTCTATTTGGAATCGTATTTATAGGGATAGCGCGTTCCTAATCTCTTCTTTGCTCGCTTCCCTTCCAGTCGTGCCCTTCTCGTCCCGAGGGTTATTCACCTTGATTCACACGTTCCTGGGGTCTCCCCGGCCTCGCCCCCCATTCCCGCTTCGCCCCTTTGCAGAACAGCGGCTGGGCGCTTCCTTCCTTGCAAACTGCACGGGGGCGACGGCGCCGAGCCTCTTCCCTTCCTTCTGCCCCCGGACAGGCGCCCTCCGCAAGCCCGGGAGCCCTCTGGCATCTTCCTTCGGACGCCTCCTTTGCCCCCCCACCCCGGCGCCTCCGGGGCCGGGGCTGTGGGGGGCGGGGTCAAAAGGAGGGGGGGGGCACCGGGGGGAAGCCAGTGCGTGTCGGGGCGGGGGGGC